GCGGGTTATGGCGAATATTGATTAGTGAAAAGGCTCGGTTTAACCGAAATCCAGCGTAATCATATTTGTGCGTCCTGTTGGTTAGATATTATGCAACACAAGAAATAAAAAAATCCATGTTAAACTTAATTTTTAATTTATTAAAAAAGCACCCGAAAGCAGCCATAATCGCGGTTATAATATTCCTCTCGGTGGTTCTCCTTTTGGTTTATTATTTTTGGAAAAAAAGCCAGAACCAACCAGCCGAAAGGGCCTTACAGGAAATTAACCACGAAATCAGCCTAGAACTAGCCCAAGAGGAAATTCCTCCTAAAAAATCCTCTCTGCCCCGTGATGCCAAAGGAAGGTTTATAAAAAAAGTCGTTGCGGGTTAGACCCTAAACAACCCGAAAAACCAACATTTTAAAAAACATGAATTGAGAAAATATTAAAGAACTAATTTGAAATTTATTAGTAAAAGTGAAAAATAATTGACAACCAATTATTACTTGGGGCTTGCCCTTATTAATTTTCCTCCTAGTTGCTAAACTCTTATGAGATTACTTAATTAGCCGGAGAATTTGTATTAAATGTGGTTGAAGTCGCCCTAGTATAAAATTTTGATTAAAAATCAATTCTCACCTAGGAATTTGTTATCGTTGTATTGTGGAGCATGTTTTTCAGCCTAAAAATTCCTCCTCGCTAGCCCTTACGGAGAAAAAATAAGTTATGGTAAACGCTCAAAAATGGTTGGATAAGAAATATCCGAATAAAGATAAAATTGAAAAAATTAACGGAGATAGGGAATTATTAACGGGCAAACTAATTATTGCCGATTTTCCCCAGTTAGAGAAAATATATGTTTGAAATAATCAATTAACCCAACTCCACCTAAAAAATTGCCCGCAATTAACTGGATTATGATGTTATGAAAACAAACTCACCGAATTAACTATTACCGATTGTCCTAATTTGCGTGAAATAGATGCTCACAATAATCAATTAACCAGTCTAGACGTGAGCCACTGCCCCCAACTAACCGATTTATACATTGATTATTTCCTTTACCCAAATATCACAGGCCTCAAAAAAACCTCAATTATTAGGTTAGATGTCCGAGAGGGAATTTATAATGGAGAAATTACCAACCCCCAAGAAATTTGAAAAATTTTCGCGGATATCAGAAAAAAACATTTTCCGGAAATGGACCTAATTGACATTTCCGACCTTGACGACCTAGCCGCCCGAGTAGACAAAAAAACCGCCTGCGACAAGGAATTTTTAAAGCAAATTTGCCCGCTCGAACCCGAGAAATTCATTAAACAAAAAAAAGGAAATTTTTACTGAATTCTCGACCAACTAGCCAACCGCATTTTAGCCCGTGTTCTCATTCTCCAAAACCGCCTTTGTGAGGGAAAAGACGAAGCATACGAAGAAGCAATTATTGATTTAAGTTTAGAATTCCTAAAATGCCACAAAATAAACCCCAAAACCCTCGCAACCGCTTACATTCCCACTCGCCAAGAATTAGTTAAAAAAGTTCTTAACGGCAACCAGGAACTAATTAACCGCATTAAAGACTTATACAACGAACAAACAAAACATTACTGAATTAAAAAAGAAATCCGGGAACAAACCCGAGCCCAAGAAAAACAGCCCGAACCGGACGAAACCCAATCACCTATAAAATTAT